AGAGGACTTTCAGCTTGCCGCATACTTAATGTGCCCCCATGCCACACAGTCGCTATACAGTTACAAACATGTATACTTTTTCGTGGATTCGAAACCGAACCCTCCAGTACGGCAACCAGTGTTGATAACTACTAAAATTGATAAAATTTATTTAAAACTAATGTTTATAAATCGCTCTCCTACTACCACCGACCTCTCGAGAGGACTTTCAGCTTGCCGCATATTTAATGTGCCCCCATGCCACACAGTCGCTATACAGTTACAAACATGTATACTTTTTCGTGGATTCGAAACCGAACCCTCCAGTACGGCAACCAGTGTTGATAACTACTAAAATTGATAAAATTTATTTAAAACTAATGTTTATAAATCGGGAAGAATTTCTAAATTTTATTGTCATTAAAACTTAAATTTTAGATCATGCAAGAAGAAAGCAAGGACAAAATCTTCATATATATATGCCAAATTAAATTAAATTTTCAGCTAAAATTTTAATGCTAATTAAAAAACTTCACCATGCAATTCTTTTGGTAGAAGTATAGGCTGATCTTTGGAATATGGTAACTGATAGTTTGGCGACATTTTGGAGGCGATAAAGATAACTACCTAGGACTTTGGTAATAATGTGAGAAGCACTCAGTTCCGATTACACATTATTTTGTGCGAGGGAAATGAGAGATGAGATATGAGATATGTCATGTGACATTAATGAACGAATTACAGCTGTTTAATCGGAAAAGGGGAGAAATCTGGAAATTTCGTATTTAGCTATATTCTGTGTTGTGTGAAAACGTGACATTAACGGACGAATTACAGTTCTTTAATCGGGAAAGGGGGTTAATTTGGAAAAGCTTCATTGTGTGTTATGTGAAATAGTGTTGATTAATTTTCGGATTGCATGGCGCTATGTAAAGTGAATTCTAAATTTTTAATGCATTTATCTGATAATAATAATAAGTTGAGATTGTGTAAAAGGAAGGATATTACAGTTTAAGGCGGTGCAAGAAACATGGTGAAAATGAACATTTTATGAAAAGGAGTTGTAAGGAAGGGTACGTGGTTTGCTGAAAGTAATTTGAGTATAGGTGAAATTTTATTAATTTCTTATTACTTGGTGTAAACGATTACTTGGTGGTCTTATTACTTGGTTATAACGAGGAGGTGGATGTAAAATTTAAGATATTGCTATTGTATTCCGTTAGGAATTCCAGTGACTAAAATGAATTTTAGACTTCCAGTTGACTACTGGATTTAGGATTTAGAAATTAGCAGTAGTACTGCAGCGACGTAATGAAGATTCTGAAGAAGATTAGATAAGTTAGTACTTTTAATCATTTGAGGATATTATTTTTATGCATTGTTCTAAATGTAAGGAGTAAATAAATTAAAATGGTATTATTTGAAAATTGTTATTAGCAATGATTTAGTTTAAAGTAATTAGGATTGTCATCTAATTTTTATTAATTTAATGTATGTGCTTATTTATATTTTAAGTAGTGTTTTTTAATTTAATTATATTTTAATTTAATGATCGTGATTTTGTGAGTTATATGTTTGTAGTATTTTGGAATATGTTTGAGTAGTATACGTTGACTATTTTCATGAAATTTTTCTAATTTATGAGAAAAAAGCAGTGTACATGGATATAGTGAAGAGTGTGCGCAATGCCATTTTTGTGCAATTCTGGGATTTTTTTGAAGTAAAAATAAGTCGACGTGTACATGGTTTAGTGATATTTTAATTAAATGATAGTTATTTTGTGAATTTTATGTTTGTAGGAATTTGGTATACGTTTTAGTTGAAGTAAACGTGCATGGAAATAATTTAAATATTTGACACTAAGTATTTGTAATGTTTGCAGTATGAATTCGTTGGTGACATTTATAATATAATAGATAATTTAGAGGTAAAAGTTTTTGGATATTTTATTTATTTTATACGTGGAAATGTTCATATTTGGAAAGTGTATATACTTTTTCGCGATAAGGTAATTTCATATATGTTCTTTTTACCGGGTTAAAGATTCAGAAAATTGTCGTGAATTTTCGTGAAATTTTTCTAATTTATGAGAAAAAGGCAATGTACATGGATATAGTGAAGAGTGTGCGCAATGCCATTTTTGTGCAATTCTGGGATTTTTTTTAAGTAAAAATAAGTCAACGTGTACATGGTTTATGTGTTATTGTGAAAAAGCGCAAGGAGTTTGCGATTGTACACTTTTTCCCAATTTTGCAGTGAATATTTGTCATGATTAAGCAGTTTTGTTCGATAAAATTTCTAGCATAAGTGTAATTTGGCTAGTAGATTGTTGGAAAAAAGTGTTCAGTAAATAAAAAGAAAAGAAACATGTCTTTACTGGCGGCGGGAAAAAAAAAAAATAGAGGTTTGCTGTAGCAGAGTTGGTCGCCAAATTTTCGCTAAGAAATTGCCAAGTTACCATAATCCATAGATCAACTGAAGTATATTTAAGGGTACCCCTTGGTGATTTTCGGCAGTACATGGATACCATATTTATGCAATTCTTTGACTTTGGCAAAAATCGCTGCTATATAAAGATAAAATAAGAAGTCAAAGAGTTGCACAAATTTGGTATCCATATATACATTGACATATTTTCACTTAAAAAAATCACACAATTGCACAAACTAGGCATTGTGCGCTCCCTTGACTTTATCCATATACTCGTAGACCTATTTTCACTTAAACATCAGAGAATTTTACAAACTTGGCTTTATGCATTCCCTCGACTTTGTCCATGTACACATTGATTCATTTTTACTTAAAAAGTCAAGGAGCACCCAATTCTAGGTAATAGTATAATTATGGAACATTTAACTACCCAGGTTATGATAAATGAAACAACCAACTTTTGATAATACAAGAGGTAGCCTAATGTCTACTCTAACTTTTTTTTTTTTTTTTTTCAAAACTTGACATTTTGGCATAGTCTGAGGCATAAAATCTGAACATACTCTCTAGCACCCTCTCTTGACAAAAAGGCATGTTATTTCCAGGAAAGGTCCTATTTTGTGTCATAACAGTGTATAAATCTGATGTAAATTAAGTCACCCCTTCAAGACATGAAAAATACAAGTTAAATTGAATGGCCCAGCTAACTAGTACAAGAGATATGGAATTGTCACCGCTCCCTTTCTGTGAAAGTAATGAGTAACATGAAGCACCATGCTTAACACATGATACCAGGCTTCTTTATACGACATTTATCACATGAATGGGTCACGACATGCAGATACATGTCTATTTTAGCCCACATTTTGGTTTAAAGCATTTGGAAGATTGAAGGATATCATTTTGAGAACAATTCTATAACCACCACTGCTGAAATTAAATTCCAAAATGTTTTCTTTAAAGAGCAGTTTAAATAGCTTCCTATTCAAATAAAGGATACTGCAATAACTTGTGATAGCAATTTTTTTTTTTTTTTTTACTTAGTCTACACATGAGAAGAATCTGAGAATAAATCAAATGCGAATACTAAAAAACTGAAATTCGAGATATTGTTTTAAACTAAAATTTTCTGAAGAGAGGGGAAAAAAGGATAATCAAACCCAGTCGTATGTTATTCAATTCATTTATTACAGCAAACTAAATTGCCATATGAAATTTTTAATTTACTGAAAGTTACTTAATACACACATCCACAGCAATGTCGAAGTGAGATCTCAGTTATATCAATAACCAGCACCTGGCTAATATTGGCCTTTTTTAGTTAAAATAAGGGCTGACCCCATGGTAATAAGTTTGAGAAATTAAGAAATTATTTTCCTTTTGCTTATTACTTTGATGACTAGCATACAGTCTGAATTAAAAATTACATAAATTAATGCAACTTAATTTAACACCAATTGAATACATCTTTTAAAATACATATCAAAGCTTTAATATTTCCATTAACAGAAATACACGCTTCCTAAACACACATATATATTAAAAAAGGGGGGAGTGGAAAGAAACATCAATCTTTTTTAATTTTGTTCTCTAACATAACACGGAACAGACAGATAGCTTCATTTGGTTCGTTTTCATCCAAACAGCTGAGAAAGGCCTTTTAAGTGTTTTTATTAAAGGCCTTTTACGTCATTTTGCGTAAAATTTGACGTCAGATACTATAACTGCCCAATTTCCAATACAGTTATATCTACGACTTAATATTATGCATGTATTGCGACAAAATTTTTCGTAATTAAAAATAATAACACGTAATCCGTATTCTATATAATTAAAGAATTATTAACTTTTTGTTTCATTACTTTTATTTTTACCACCACTGTTTGAGAATTACTTTATTTTTACCACCACTTATCCGAATTGCGGCACCTACACCGTTTGTCCGATTTTTATTGGTTAATTTGGCATTGATACGAACATAATCCACCCCCGTAACACATTCGAATACTTGCCATAACGATGCAATCGACATTCTTTCTAGGAAAGATTTAAAAGTCACTCGAAAGGAAAAAATGCATCTTTAAAAAGAAGGAAACGTATGACCACTCACATACAGCGTTTAAAACTATTTCAAAAGATTAAATGTATACAAGTAGACGGCTACGAAGGAAAACAGGGTGAAAGAAAAAATATTTCGTTTCAAAACGCCTATATGTTTGTTTCGCTACTAAACAGGCGTGATAAACAGACGCCATTTTCTTCCAACATGATTAGGAAAATAGTTTTCCTCACTTTCGCAATACAAGAAAACCAACTAAAACATATACTCCAAAGAATAAACCTTGACGTTTTACGTCTGGCCAGGCTCAACATTTGTCAAAAACTGATCTCGTACTACTGAAATATTTTGCCATCCGATTTGTCTAGGCTAATTATACAATCGAAAGCATACCAAAACATATCTTTTTTTTACTTTTTACTTCTCTGCAAGTTAAAAGTATTGCCGTAATATTAGCAGTTGCACTTTTTTAAATCCCCTGCTTAGCAATTAAATTACCTAACACATAACAACAATATCATAATGTACTCACCACAAATATGAAATTGAACACAAACATCAAATATTTGATACAACTCATTCCCGCCTGCATCTTGACTTTGTTGTTGTTCGACACGTATCACAATAAAAAAATGAAGAATCAATTATCCAAGCGTAATAACTCTGCAAGCACACACCTTAAAATACCACAGTCAAAGAGAACTGCCTGTGAATTTGCAGATGTCTACCAACTTGCTGATCATGTGATCCTGACGTCACAATCCTCGTGACACTTGCACGGATGAAATTTCTAGATAAAGAGCCTTGGAATATTGCTTCAAAATGAAGCAATGATGCTTTCCGTGAGTTACCTGTTTTGAAACGAGGGGGTGGATGTAAAATTTAAGATATTGCTATTGTATTCCGTTAGGAATTCCAGTGACTAAAATGAATTTTTTATGATATATCTGTTTCGATTAACAATTTTGATAATAGATTAAAAGTAAATTTTAAATTTATTGAGCAGTGAAATTTCAAACCAATCTGTCAATAAACAAGTAAAAGTCTCAAATCAAATTTATTATTACGCAGAATTTGCCTTTAAACTGGAATTCATACTTCCTGCTTAGATTATGCTATTTAGGGAAGAGCAAAGCATGCAAGGAGAGCTTAGGCGAGAATTGGCTTTGAAATACATTTTAATGGCCTAAGTCTTTTTTTTTTTTTTTTTTTTTTTTTTTTACTCTCTCTCTGGATACAATAAAGTCATTCTAGAGTTAAAAATTTTATTTTAATTTAATTTAATTATTTTAATTATATTTTTATTATTGACAAAAGTAAATATTTTTGAATATTAAATTTCATACTAATATTTAATTCATTTAAACGCGACAAAAGAGGGAAAAAAATGTGAAAGAAGTAAATAACTACAATCTCTTCCTACAAATTCTAGACGCAGGATCAGAAAAATTAGAGTCCAATTTTATTACAATGAATTATGATTATTAACTCCTTTTCCTTAAGTGCTTCATAAAATAGCGCAAATGAAATTAATTAGTCGTACATTTTCTATTTCGGGGCTCAAAACATTTTCAATTAAAAATCTAATGTGTACACCACATGATTTCCTTGTTCGGAATATTAAATTATACGCATTTTTTGCTGCATTTCATTTAATCTTATTTGCTCGAATTTCATTAAAGATAGATTTCTCACTCAATTAATTCAGTTCTCATTTCGCGGCAAGGCAAAATTACATAAAACCTCAAAATACCTTTATTAAAAATTGAAAAATATAGAAAAGTATGAAACAAAAATATAAGTGCAGTTAACACAATTAGAAAACAGTTTTTACAATTAAATTAGAATTTCTACCGAAAAAACAAGCAATTCCGTCAACGGGCAAGAAGGTAGATTTTTCGGTGCACACAACCAAAAGTTTCCTTTCTGTGCCAGTTCAGAAAGACTTAAGTCACTATTCTGCTATTTCAAATGTAAACAAATATGGCTGTTATTTAAAAAAAAAAAAAAATTAGGTTTAGCCGCATTTAAGTAATTTTTAAATTGTTGATAATTCTGGAACTATTGAATGCAGGTTAACTAAATGCAGATAAACCTTAAGCGGAAGATAAGAATAACATAATTCAATCATTTTTAAGGCAAAAATTAAGTGCACACACACAAAGGGGGAAAAAAACAGCTTACTGAGTAACAGAGTGGATATATATATATATATATCTACTCTGTTACTAGGCTCACACTTTTGGCGCGGCGATTAAAACCAAAGTAGGAGGTGTACAACTACAGCAGTCCTACATGCAAAATTTCAACGTTCTGAGGCTACTTATGCTTGAGTTATACGAGATGCATACATATGTACGTATGTACAGACGCCGCGATAAAATGTCTTTTGAATCCATTTTAAATGGATTATATAATTCTTTTATAATTTTTTTGGAAAATTTTTTATAATTCTTAATTGTTTTATAATTCTTTTTGGAAAAAAGAATCCGTTATTCTATCCTTACGTACGGATGTCACGCAAAAACATCGTTGAATTACATTCGATAGCGGCAAAAATGGATACTTTGGTTGAAATATGATACCCGAAAGTTTTCGCGATTGCAATACTTCCTTTACTTAGTACAAGGAAGTAAAAACTTACTTTTTTGACAAAAAAATTAAATAAAAAGTAAGACCTTTTTTTTTTCTTTATTTTGAAAAATATACCAACCCCAAACGTAATTCTTTTGGAATAGAGCATTGTTACAATCAATTTTATCTTCAAATAATGATCCTGTCACACATAATAAAGGTCTCAGCAAAATTCAGCTAAGGAAATCCTTAAAAAAAAAAAAAAAAAAAGGTTTTAGAATGGCAAATGTTGTTATTCCTCCTTTTCAACAAGCTTATGAACACTATTTCGGAGATTATGTATTTTTTCGGAGGGGGGGGAGTTACCAAAAGTTTCAAATCTCACCTTTTTATTTCAATTTTCTTCTTCAAAAATTCTAAACAATAAATGCCCAAGTACAATTGTTAATATTTGAACGCTTTAGTATGTAAAATAAATTTTCTTCAATTAACAAATAACCGTATGAAGCTTTATTTCACCACATAAATATTTTATATTGGTTGAGTAAAACCAATGAATTCTAGTAATTCAGCTTAAGATGTTTATTGCAGCGAACGAGCTGGCTGAGTGGGAATTTTCATAATTTTCCACTTATGCTATGGGGAGTACAATATGAGCCTAGACAATTTTCCTTAAAAAGTCTTCCTTTAAAGGTATGTGCCACTATAGATGGGGAAGGGGAAAGGAGATATTGATAATCTAAAGAAAAGAAAAACACGGTATTCTAAGAAAAGAGAATTCTGTCTCTATGTGTGACACAGCAACAAAATCAAAAACATCCTTCCATTTCAGAGTGAAGTCCAAGCAATCGGTAAAAGATTTAAACGCAACGGCTTAACTACATAAAACATAACATTTAACAAAATATAGAAAATTTACTTAAGGAATATCTCTTTATCATTCAGTTTCTATTTACCTATAACTCTTATTTTTCATTCATTTATAATTCCTTTATATTCATTTATATTATGTGTCATATTTATTTCGATATTTAAAGTATGAATAGCTGAATAAATTTTCATTCCTTACATTGAATGAGAAAAGGTTTTCTATGAAGTTATTTTATCTACACAATTCAGTTTTTTTACGTCTGAAATTCCAAACAATTATTTATCTTGGTCTAAATCGTTTGTTTAATCTCGTTTGAAAAATCGTCGTATATTAATGTGTGTGTGTGTGTGTATTTAATAATGGCAAAGCACACTAGGGCTATCTGCCTAAGGGGAGGGATGCCTTCGTGGAGGACTTTCTAAGGGAAACTGGCTCGTATACACGTTACACATGGGGAAAACCACGAAAACGCGCATGCATCCGGCCCGTTCGCGGGATTCGAACTTCGGACCGAACTACCAGTGTTCAGCGACTTTACCGCTCGGCCGCTTGTGGGCCCGTCGTATATTAAAACTGTGACTTAACAGATTCTTGAAAAACATATGATAAAGTACACTAATTTGGATCATTGCTTAAATTTATAAGGTATTTCTCTCGCCTTCCTAGCGTGCCTTCGGGGTGTAGTGATTCTGTACGCTGTGGCGGTATTCCAGAGGTCGGTGGTTAGATTCCCGGCGAAGGCGATTGCTCATTTTTCATTTTTCATTTTCATCTTTCCTGCTTAAAAAAAAAAAAAAAAAAAAAAAGCTTTCGTGATGTAGGGGTTCTGCACTCTGGGCCGGTATCCTAGAGGTCCGTGGTTCGATTTCCAGCGAAGGCGATTGCCCAATTTTCATCTTTCCTGCTTCGAACAAAAAAATCCTAATGTTGGTTTACATTTATAAGTTGTTTTACATTTGATTTAATTTTATGATTATTTAAATTATTTAGTTTTGTTCATTGAGTGTATTTGGTTTTGGGTTTATGCGATTGTGGCAAAGCTTCGAGGGCTATCTGCCTAAGGGGACGGATGCTTCGTGGAGGATTTCCTAACGGAAATTAGCTCGTGTAAACGTTACACATGTGGGAAAACCACGGAAACGCCCATGCCGCCAGCCCGTTTGCGAGATTCGAAACTCAAACGGTTCTACCCGTGTTCAGCGACTTTACCGCTTGGCCTCAGCGAGTCATCTTTTTTAGCCCAAAGGGAGAATTTTCCCAGAAAGGCTATTAATTTCCTTTTGGTAAATTCTGGCGTTTCCGTATAAACGGCATTTCACTTTTCAAATTGCTGCTACCGAATATTAAAGCCCTGCATTATATTTAAAGAAATTAAATAATGAAGAATCTGCCTGAACGTATGTATGTTTCTCGCACTCTGAGAAAACAATGGCTAGAGACATCAAATTTTGAATAATAGGTAGTCCTCCACTCGAATATGGGCATCTGAAAGCCCAAATTTGGATTTTGGAATTTGTTTTATTGTATATTTCATATTTCGCAGAATTTTTACGAAATTTTGATTAACAAACTCAACGATTTCAAAGCAAGCAAATTCCAACTATGTACGGGGGGGGGAGGAATAGATAAATAAAAATCATAAAAATTTCAGATTTTAAATTACGTCCAAAAGGGCGTTTTTTTAACATTTTGTCTGTTACCTTTATTTATTGAATATCACGTTCTTCACACTTAAACCATCAAATTTCACTTAAACCATAAAATTCAGTTCAATAGCAATGTCGCAAAATAATTTTAAAATGAGCTATCTTTAGAATTTCCGATACACAGTTCCGCGCGCTGGAGATAAAAATTTTTTTTTCCCTCCCCCTTAGAGTGTTGACACTGCTCGCTTTGAAATCCTTGAGTTTGTTAATCACAAATTCATTAAAGTTTTACAAAATATGAAATCGATGATAAAACAAATTCCAAATTTCAAATTTGGTCTTCCACTTGCCTATATTCGCAGTATAGCATTACGTCATTCAAAATTCGAAGGCTCTCATTGTTTTATCCCAATGCGAGAAATATACCTACATTTATGCAGATTTTTCATTACTTAATTCCTTCAAATATAATCTAGGACTGCAACATTTGGTGGGAACAGTTTGAAAAGTGAAACGGACATTTATAGTGATTCAACGCAAAATCGCGAAACGAAAACAATAGTCCTTCAGAGACAAAGCCCCTTTGGACTAATAATAACGCTGTAAATAACCCATTCATTTT